TCATGCTTCGTTTTTTAAAAAACGCATTATTTTTCACATAATTTACCTTTATTCCACACCGATCTGTCCCTTCTCTAACAAACGCCTCGATTATTTCCTGTTTTTATGAAGCCCCTCCCTCAGAAATATGCGTGGGCTGAGATTGGTCAGCTGGCTCAGTCTGTTGTGATTCGGTAAACCGCCTCTAGAGTGTGTCTGAACATCCCGCCCCTCAAGCTCAGAATGTGCTTCAGTTGTATTGTAAACAATGACGTCCTCTATATTGCTTATCAATCTGAGCCCAATTGAGACGCAGAGAATATTAATGAAGAGGATCCCGCAGAACCTGTGCAAGCACTGCTCTTAATGGTATGTTTGTTTGTTGTTGTCCCATACTTTTAGATACGCTGTTGTTTGTAAATGCTACTGCTTCTGTTAGCTTTTAATATATGGTTTTATTCTGATTAAAGCTTTAATACAGCACAGCAACCGTACGCACGTCCATGTATAACGCTTCTCATAGCTATGTGAAAATAAGTGTATAAATGGAACAGTTTGTTGGAACTGATCTGACGATCTGAATGAGAGAGAGAGAGAGAGATATGCAGAGCAGGGCGACGCGAGGAACAGGATTGAGAACCGCTGCTTTAGAACATTGGTTTTGAAACTTGTGAATCCATTAGAATCGTTAGAAGACAGAATCGCGATTCATATATGAACAGTGACAACTAACAATGAACGGTAGTATTTTTTAAAATTGTTAATTAAGGTTAACAAAGATGAATAAATACTGTAACAAATGAATTGCTCATTGTAAGTAAAATTTTAGTTAATGCATTAATCAATGGGACCTTATTTATTTTTAAAGAGTTTCCATATAATTCTTGTCAGCTACTGGACAACTACTCCGCATTGTGGCCCATTTCTAGTGTTTTGTTGTCATTACCTGACATTATCTTCTGGTTCTGGTTCGCTGTCACTGTTCTCAGCTTTACGTTTCACACCACGATTATCCATGTCATTACTGGCTCCAGCAGCACTCTGAAAGGAAGCACAGAAACACTGTTATACACTTAAAATTAATGAGAGTCATATTCTGAGGTCGTAGACACTGTCAAAGCATAAAGCTGTTTAAAAAATATATTTTACAAAGAACAGGAGCAAGAGAAAAAGATACACGCCTTTCCATTTTTCATCATGGCTCTCAAGGACTGAGCTGCTTCCTGAAAAATACAGAAACAGCTGACTTGACCAAATGTTCAACCAAGGTAACAAAACAAGCATGAAACTCAGGATGAATACAAAAGCTTCTATGCAGTACAGCAGCCGAGTTCTTGCAGTAAAGATCCCATTCATGTTCTCCACGAAGAATGGGATTTTAACAATAATGCAGAATTCTTTCACTGCAAAAATACAACGAAAAAAGCTCTGAGAGGTTGATTAAACAATGACATGATGCTGTAGAAACCACAAGTTGCTTGAATTATGTTCAATGGAATTTATTGCAAAAGAGCTCAGAAGAATCTATTATATGTATCAGTCAAAAGTTTGAGGTCTGTAAAAAACTTTCATGTTTGTGAAAAGTCTCTTTAGCTCACCAAGGCTATATTTATTTGATCAAAATACAGTATTTTTGTGAAATATTACTACGATTTATTGTAAAAACTGTTTTTTATTTGAATATATTTTATAATGAACTTATTTCTGCAATGCAAAGCTGAATTTTCAGCATCATTACACCAGTCTTCAGTGTCACATGATCCTTCAGAAATCATTCTAATATGCTGATTTGCTGCTCAAGAAACATTTCTGTTCATTAGCAATGTTGAAAACAGTTGTGCTGCTTCCTATTTTTGTGGAAACTATCATTTGAGTTTTTTTTTTTTTTAGCACTCATGTTGATTTACTGTGGTTCATATTAACAAATCACAAAGACAGCGAAGGCAGACCTGATTGCGCTGATTTCCCTGCATCCTCATATCATATGCAGTTTGTCTGGCGTTCTGCACTGCTATGGGTCTGTCTCTGCCGCCCAGAGCCCGAGGGGCAAACTGGCCACCAGGGACAAATGATGGACCCTGGTCTGCCTGCGAAGAGAGCAATTCACACGCGTTCATGATTTAGATACTTCTGCAGACTTCAGATTTACCACAATGAAAGTTCTGCGATTTTAAAGAAACATTTGTTATATTGGTTCATATATGTTAAAATTTGATTCACAAATCTTTGTGCAAAAAAAGTTACTCAGCTTTATCATCCAGTCCTACTAATTCACCACCATAAAAATCTGTTATTTACATGATATAAATGCACATTCATTGTGAGTGAATGCATTTTGCAGGGTAAAGATACAAACCATTCAGCCACTGTCAGCTAAATTAAACGACCTTGTGAATGAATTCAACTCACCGTCTCTCTCAAAGGAACTGTGGATGTATGTGTTAACATTTCAAAAGGAAATATTGTAAAACCTCTACACATTTAATTGCTTCCAAAAACTGTTTAGAAAGAGGAGCACACATTTTCACTCACTTTCATTCGTTTTTTCTTTTCCTTCATTCTCCGTTTAAAACTCTCCTGCAAGAAATAAAAGGCCATGATGAGCCCAATGAAGTGCACATTTCTGTATCATAATCATCTGCGTGAACAGTCAGAGGTCACAAGCCCTCCGCTGCGCCGTGTTGACAGCAAACAACATCTATTGTGTGCTCTCACGTCGTCGTCTTTGCGCTTTTTGAAGATGTTGTCCTCTGCCACCCCTACGGCTTGCATAATGAGCTCGACACGCTCGAGATTGACAAAGCCGTTTTCTGTTAAGTAGCCCTATAGAGAGAGAAAAAGAGAGCTTATTTATACATTTCTCCCTTCAATCAATTCCATATGGTTAAATCAAGTCACGTCATTGAATATAATAAATTAAAACCATTTCATGCTGACTTCAAGCATACAGTACATGGGATAAATAGACACTGAAATATTCACCCCGGTCTTATGCACAACATCTTTGTAGATGCCAACCAGACGATCGATGGCGCCCTCTCTGTTTGAAGACAAATGAGAGTCAGAACTCATAGTAAAGCACACTGAAATGAAAAAAACTAAATAAAGCAGCTTCTGTAAGTGTACCTGATCTCAAGAGACGGTAAGTGGGGCAAGAAGTCGTTTCCCACAAAGAAACACATGAACACCCAGTCGTCGACACTCCGCTCGAAGTTGAACGGGAAGGGCAGGCTGGCCATTGTCAACTCCCTCTCCAAATACTGAGATGAGGAAAAAAAAAAATTATATACAAACAAAAATTCAGATAAATATATTATCCGTTTACTAGGTTTTCCAAACATTTAAGCACACATTCACATTACCCAGGTTTTGTGGCAGCAAATTTTGCACATGCAAACATCACATTTTCCTTATAAAATATAAAAATCTAGTTTAAACTACCAATAATCTGACACATTTAAACTATGTTAAAAGCATAAAACACTTTAAAATTGGCTGAAAATTCTCAGGCCATTCAAGATGAAGACGAGTTTGTTTCTTCATGGGAACAGATTTGGAGAAATTTAGCATGACATCACTTGCTCACCAATGGATCCTCTGTGGTGAATGGGTGCCGTCAGAATGAGAGTCCAAACAGCTGATAAAAACATCACAATAATCCACAATTAACCCAGATTAACTGCAGAGGATCCATTGGTGAGCAAGTGATGTCATGCTAAATTTCTCCAAATCTGAAAAACAAACTCATCTTTTCTTGGACGGCCTCAAGCGGAGTAAATTTTCAGCAATTTTTAATTTCGGAGTGAACCATTTCTTTAAAGTGGAACAAACAAACCTCTCGTAACACAGACAGTCGGATGAATATGAACTCCTGTTCTGATACTGGAACTGTGTCTGCAAATTCATCATGCTGAGAGAGAACACACAAAATATAAGTTCATACATAGAGTTGATGTGAAGCTCTGGGTTGATGGATGGAGATTGGAGAGGATGAGTCAATTACCTCGCCCTGTTTTTCTCGGGCCAGCCCCTGACAATCTTTGATCTCATGGCCCATCTGACCACACAGGGCGCAGGGTCTGGGTTTGTTGGGTTTAAACTCTTCTCTTATAATGGTAAAGTTGGGTTCATGTGTCGCCAAACCCAACATGATCAAATCAGCTGAAAAAAACAAAACAAACAAAGACAGAATTAAACCTGTAATTATAAAGCTCACTGAACTGAATTCTTGTTTTAAAATGGGCAGTTCATAATACTTTTCAGCCAGCAAAGTTTTAGAGAATGGTGACACCAGAAGGTACAAAAAGATAAAACGCTTATATTACATAAACATACAGCTAATGTTCTTCATAAATGTAAATAATGGAAGCTTTCAGTCAGATTGATATCTTGAAGTATCTCCTCTCCAGACTAATCAAATGCAACATGTTTCCTCATTCATCCACTTAGTGCATTAATACTACAGGAATAATGTTGTGCATCAGATCCTCTTATACATACTAATAAAACCAGACAGATTTAATAATTCCCTCTCAAAATCAGTCCACAACATTGTTATGTTGTGCAGCTTAAAGTCATCATGAAACTTAAGTTTTAGTACAGTATTGAGACATATCTTCAAGTGAAACGGCTATTGAATAAGAAAAAAGTTGAATAGGGCTTTTAATTATTTGTGAAACAATCTGAATGTGATTGGCTTATTAGTAGTGCAAATTTACATACATTATAGACGTCAAGTGAACATATTACAGGAAGAGCAAGTTAGGAAATTAGTCAAATTCAAAATTATAAACAAAAATAATGCACCAATAAATTTAGATTCATAAATAAGACTAGCAACAACCTGTAAGAAAATATGTAGGGTCAATTTTATTTTCCTCTTTACACTTTCAGAGTTGTGTTCACTAAAGCCAATTTCAACATTTTAAAACTTTAAAAGGTGAAACACTTTACCATCAGCTCCACAGAGACAGTGATGTGTGTTTGGGTCATGATTTGGCTGAGCTGGAAAAGAACATGACTCAAATGAGACATTAGACCAATGAAAATCTTTGCTAGTCACATTTCAGACATTATTAGTTTTATCCTTAAGCATCTGCATTATTAGAAAATGTTTGAAGTTGCTCATTCAACACAACAGAAAAAGAAAAGGCTTCAATGAATAAATCACAACAAATCAAATCAATATTTCAAAAGACTAACAACAAGACCATAACCCGAATTTTCAGCTCTACCTCTCTGTCTTCTGATGAAATCCATAATTTTATGCTCCCCTTCTCCAGGAACACTGGCATCTGACAAGAAAACCTGCAGGACAAAGTATTTATTTATTGATTACATCCCACAGCAGAACAAAAACTCCAAATGTTACAGTTGATTTGAGGAGTCGTATGACCTACTGTGATATTGCGCCATCCAGGGTCATTGGTCAGTCTGTCTGCAATGTAATATCGCAAGCATTTGGCCAAATTATCCATGAATTCGGTCCCCTAAACACAAAACAGGAAAACTACTCATTACATCTGACTAAAACACAGCCTAAGATTTCCTGCAGTCCTTAAATTATGAACAAGGAAACAGAGTGGAGAAACTGTAGATGATGTTTGGCCTGAACATCATCAGAGGACACATAAGTTCATTAAACCACCCAAGATTTATGAACACTTACAGGGGTGATACAGTTACTGTCAAAACGCTCTTTTATTCCCTCGGGAGGCAGGTAACCACCTAAAAAGAGAAACATCTATCAAGCTGGGAAACCAGAACATGTGTACAAACACCAAATCAAATTTTAGTGCACATTTAGTGTTTATATGCAACTTAAACATTAATAGATGTGTTGGTTCTCTCACCTCTCTGAATAACTTCTTCCCTCATTTTATTTTTCTCCTCTACAAGCTCCACTCCTTCTTTAGATGCCCGGAAGCGTCTTGAGCGCTGCTGGTTCATTTTGGCACGAGGAGCCTGCAAACAATTCAAGATGATTCACAGATGAGGAGCACAAGAAATGGTTACTGAAACTGTCGTCTAACTCCTGAATTTAAGTGCATTATTAAATGAAATATCCAATTGAATGACCCAGAAATGACTATTTTCTGTACAGAGATTCATCAGAAATATTGAAAGCACAACGTGCATGCAGTGTCAAACAGGCCTAATAGAGATGTTATGAAGGGCGATACATACCACACCATCAATTGCCATGTACAGAACCCGTCTCGGTCGAACGATGTTAAAGAGACGGTCAATATATTCGAAAATGGCAACCATCATTTCATCTTCATTTTTAGGAGCTGGCCTGCAAAGAGTTAAAATAATGTTGTAATAAAGTCACCTAAAAACATATTGAATAAATACATTCATGAGAAAACCTCACTTGTCCTCTGGATGTGTGCACGGGTGAATAATTCCATTCATGTCTAGATACAGGATGTCAAACTCCACTTCATTCGGATTGGGTTTGCTGGTATCAACTGGGATTTTAATGCCATTGTACTCCTTGGCCTGAGAAGAAATTAAGATTATTTACACATACACACACATTATATATATATATATATGACCCTGGACCACAAAACCAGTCTTAAGTAGCACAGGCATATTTGTAGCAATAGCCAAAAATACATTGTATGGGTCAAAATTATCGATTTTTCTTTTATGCCAAAAATCATTAGAATATTAAGTAAAGATCATGTTCCATAAAGATATTTAGTAAATTTACTACTGTAAATATATTAAAACTTAATTTGATTAGTAATATGCATTGCTAAGAACTTCATTTAGACAGTTTTACAGGCGATTTTCTCAATATTTAGATTTTCAAATGGTTGTTTCTCTGCCACATTGTCCTATCCTAACAAACCATACATCAATGGAAAGCTTATTTATTCAGCTTTCAGATGATGTATAAATCTCAATTTCGAAAAATTGACCCTTATGACTGGTTTTGTGGACCGTCCAGGGTCACATATAAAAGATATTAAAACCTAAATGACATATGTTTTGACATCGCAGTCTTAAAACCTAGTAAACTGTCAAACTACTTCAGTTACAATGCATTATAGCAACGTTTTGCAGCGAAATGTTACTGATTTGGTACTTGAGCACACTTCCTCGTTACAATTGGCTGAAAATTTGCATAATTCTCTGTGATTGGTTGGTTGTTCGAGCGGTCTTATATATGTAGGTACCCTAAAAATGCTGTCTAGGTAATAACCTTCAAAGATGTTTGGGACACAACCATACATTCGCATCTCTAATTTAACCAGAGTAAACGTGTATTCAACCAAAACATCGACTGCAATTAAAACCACGTGAACTGAAACACACAAATACAACCTATAATAAACAGTAAAATCACAGCTGAGAGCCAGGACCGTAAAACTCATTTGATTACAACCAACATGCGCATAACTAAATTAGTAATTACGCAATTAATTAAACAGTCAATGAGATGCTAGTGTGTCTCACCTTCTCCTCAAGACAGTGTACTATTATTGACGGATACTTCCGACTCAACCAGCGGAAAAACGCGGGGACACCCATCTCCCGTAAAATACAGCACTTCTGAACGAAAGAGCAACTTTAAAAACGATTAAAAACAGCGGAACACGCAGAAGGATTAAAACGGCTAACAAACACAACGCACGCAGCTTATTTACCCCAGTACACTTTGAGTGACTTCCGGGTCATCAGGAAGTGACGCTAAACGCGCCCTGCGCTCAGTGCGCTGCCCAAAAAGCGAATTGCACCTCCAAATCAACTGCAACAATAAAGGTGTGAAAAATAATAATTAAAAATAGATAAATAATTATAAGACAATGAAAAATGACACTTAATATTTCTTATTAATCATATTATTATAAATTATGATTAGCCTATTATTAATAATGGCTCCTGATCTTTTCTGATTTTTTAAATATTACACTAGGCCTATAGCAAGAATTCAAACTAGCAATTTTAGATTTTTTATTTTTAAATTAAACTTCAAACAAATGTTAAAAAATTACTGTTTTAACTTAAAGTTGTCCTTAAGCACATTTAGCATTTTAAAAAATTAAAATATATATATTTTTTAAATATTAATATTAAGACTTGTTATAAAAGCTACTAGAGTGATTTTAAGTGTTTAACATTTTAACAATAATATAACCAGAATTTTGTATCAGTGAATAAAGGTTTATGTGTTTTAAATGCATTTCGTTCACTACACAGTGGCAGATTTCTCTCCTTTTCAATGCAAATGAGCATCATATGACAGTCTATGGAGACTTGAAGTATTCAGCTGATTTCAGTGAAGAGCTGTTTGATCTTTGGTGATGCAAATTCAGTAGTTTGTCCTTATCTTTATTTGCTCTTGAGTCTTCACGTTACATCCATGCGGCTCATTCACTGATGAAGCCTCTTGTCACACAAACATGGACACACACACACACACACACACACACAGACACACATGCAATTGTGGCTGAAATCACATACACAAAGCACGAAACCGATACACTTAAAAAGAACTATAATTCAGCCCTCCATACAAGCAGAGCAATAAGCTTTACTTTTACTTTTAGTCATTTAGCAGACGCTTTTATCCAAAGCGACTTACAAATAAGAAAAAGTAATTAAAACTAAAAGCTAAAACTCTATAAATACTATATATATACACACATTTAAGAAAATAAAAGAAATTAAATAAAAATGACAAATGCATACAACAACATTTCAAAACTAAAACATTTAAAAAAAAAAAATGGAAACACTGCAGTGTGCAATCCTTTAGGTGATTATCAATCAAATCATATTTACAATAATGATAGTCTCTGTAACGACATATTTCATGCAGTGAAATTGCATTCAACATATAGGAAAAAGCCATCAGCGCCCCAGCAGCTCTTGTAAGTCATATTCAGTGGGAGCTAGGAATGACATATTTACTTTCAATCATATACTTCTCCATAAACATAAACCAAATCATGTTTTGGTCTAATGTGTATATAAAAACGTCCATTTTTGAAGAAAGCGATAAGCATATGCTTATCTCAGCAATCCAAATGACAAGATACAATGCCAGTAAAAAGTATCTAAGCCAATAATATAAAAGAGAGCGTTCTGTTTCAATTCTCAGTTCATTATATAAACCACTGCTACAGTTTAATTGTCTGTGCTCAAGTGCCTGCATGTAGGTGATTCTCCAGTGAACAAGTTCCTTTCTGCATTCCCGTTCATAGTCTGACTGCTCCCTTGTGGTGGATTGTGGTACTTCAGATGCCTTTTTCTGCTGTTATTGAGCTTCACAATATTTTTTATCAGGGCCTGTACTGACTCATCATTTGCTACAGAGCTCTAATGAATCGAGATGAGGATGTTCCTTCATTAAAAATAAACAGAGCAAACAAAATATGTTGAAACTGAATCCTCTGATGCTCACAAGTAGGCCTACAATGAAAACATAAATTAATGCAACAGTTCATGCAAAAATGAAATTTTGCTGAAAATGTACTCACCTTCAGTCGATCCATAATGTAGATGAGTTTGTTTCTTCATGGGAACAGATTTGGCGAAATGTATCATTCCATCACTTGCTCATCAATAGATCCTCTGCAGTGAATGGGTGCCGTCAGAATGAGAGTCCAAACATGCGTTTGTTTCTTACAAACATGCAGCTTTTCATTTCTCAAGACATTAACTGATGGTCTGGAGTGGTGTGGATTACTTGTGGATTATTGTGATGTTTTTATCAGCTGTTTGGACTCTCATTCTGACGGCACCCATTCACTGCAGAGGATCCATTGGTGATGCAGTGCTACATTTCTCCAAATCTGCTCCAATGAAGAAACAAACGTATCTTGGATGGCCTGAGGGTAAGTATATTTTCATGCAAATTTTCATTTTTTTAGTGAACTATGCCATTAATGAAAGTGCTTAATTAAAATAAAACATTTGCATGCAAACCAAATGCATTGCATGAAAAATGGTCCTTTTCTAAGATAAAATAAAATTAATATGCAAGAAAACATGAAAAGGAGAAAAGCAGCTTCAACTTATTTTTAGTTGTGTTAAACTAGTTTAGCTGTACTCCAGCTGATAAGGGCTTCAAACCCCTGTAAAACCAGAAAATCAAGCCCACTTTGTTTTAGGGTTTATTATGTTTTTATCTCCTGCAGGGATTTGGACATGAGTCCATGTTTCTGTAACCAAACTGTAAGCATTTTTATAGGAAATAAGCATTGTAAAGGTGTATGTAACTGGAGAAATACACACAAAATATATAAAACACTTTAAAATAAATCATCAGATCACTACAATTGCATGTTCCCGGTTCTGACTCAAGATGTAGGTGTGCAGGTTAGTATGTCATTTTGGAGAGCCAAAAATATTACACCTTGAAGAACAGCGTCCTCTGCTGGAAAACTTTTCTTGCTGTCCTATTTTAAATGTTCTTAACTAATGCTAATAACTCACTATCGAACTATACACATTTTTTGCTTGTTTAATATTTATGTCTGTTTATGTCTAATGTATTTTCTTTTGTGGATAATAAAGCATAACGCATGTTTGCAAAATGATCTTTGCACCCTGCAATAGATCACAACATTTGTTCTGATATATATTTGACCAAGTCCATTTAAAGCAGCAAAAGTAAATAAAACACATTTATAATGTATATAGAAGAAACTGTGAACAGAATATTTTCTGAATTCAATTAAATGAATCAATAAAGTCATTTAACTCTCAGCTGAATGTGCCACATCTGGATTTACAACTTGTTTAACAGTGCATTTTCCAATTTTCCATTGCATCCTTTACAAATGTTAAAATTATGGTGAAGCATCAAATTACTCTTTATACCAATGCAATCAAATAAAAGATGTCAATGGCAAATGTGCAAACAGTTGCTCTTTTGTGAAGGAGTAAATTATTCCTCATGGTTTATTGGCATTATTCCCATTATTATTATTCAGGGCAGGACAAAGTGTTTTGGCCTTTCAGTGGAGTAGCTGGTTTGACCAATGAGGATTCACCCGCACATCTTATTCTGGATTCATAACATGAAACCTGACAACAATACATCTCTCAAAGGTTCCTGAATGGACAACCTTAAAACTCAAATAAACAACCACAGACCAATTACTTAATGAACTGGGCGAACACATAATGAGCTTCCTTACAAATGAGCATGCATTTAGGCAGAAGCAGTTGCACGAATAAACATCTCTGCATCAGAGAGGGTTATTACATTATAAAATAAGGCAATTCAACAGGCATCATATTTTAATATGCAAAAAAAAAGGTCTAAAGGGTGCTGAATTATCATGCAAAATGTAATTTCATATTTGATTTTGGTGTGAAATATGACTTGGATATGTTCTGTGAGATGTTACAACCACTTGTAACTGGTAAAAACGGCATAAAACACACACTCAAAACACAGAGATCGAGTGAGTGAGAATTATGACTTGTTATTTCTCAATTTTCCCTTTTGTGCATTTACAAGTTGGAATGTGAACACATGAAAAGCTCCGTCTCAATTCACATGCTACGAACGATCATTTTATGCACCCACGGCTGAGAGCTGGCCTTGAACCACGGGCCTGGTTCTGAAAAGAAACCACTCAAGATGGTTTCGTTTAAAAAACCATAACGAAAAGCAATCCTGCCCAACACAACTGACATTCATTCATATAGGCTACCATCACAATTAGCATCTTCCAGCAGGATTTGCATTAGATTGCATTAGTACAATGTATGTAAAATTTTTGACTGAAATAGGAACTTGCAAGTTGCAACAAGGACTTTTGTTTAGACAATCACCCAATTGCCAAAAAGCCAAAGACGTCTCAACATAACTTTTCCAGAAGAACGAAAGAACGTGTCCTGAATTTAAAACATCTGCTAATTAGCAATGAAGGAAAAACATATGTAAAAAACAGCAACATTTTGGCTTAATAGCCAGACTAAAGGAGATTTTTTAATATAAAAGCGGTCAGTTTGACCCACACCAATTAAAGCATCCTGTTCTACTCATAATTTTGAGCGAATAGTTTTTATTTTTTTTATGTAATCATGTTTGAGGAAAATGGGTTCAGTGGAGTACAGATAAAAGTCAATAAATGGCAACAGCATAATTGGCCCCGACTCCAAACCTCAGTATTACTCAAACTCTTAAACGAGGTAGATTCAGAACGGAAAATTACCTCTGTTCTTATCTGTTTTGAGATAAAAAATTAAGCATTATTAAAGCCAATCAGGATGTGTTAATTAAAGCCAAGAGGACCTTTGGTAATATGGCCCAAATGAGTGCAAATGCCATATAACCTTATTTTGGCTTCTGTGAATTTGGCAAGACAGTAGATCCTTATAATGTTTTGCTGAATTGCTCTAATATGTATTTGCAAATTTTTCTAACTGTTATATGTTAATGCAGTAAACTCCTAGAACACAAACAGCAGTTATGATTATGTAAACTTTATCACCAACTATTATTCCAACTACGAATCAGCATTAGGCCTATATTAACATGTAAAAACATCAAATATTTACAAAATAAAAATAACAAATGAAGAAAGGGATAATTTTGTCAGCCGGTCATTACTGAAAAACAAATGGCCTGCTATGACAGGCGACTAAATTTTCCCGCTATTACATGTAAAATAAACAAATAAATAAATAGATACATACATTAATTAATTAATTAATTAATAC